CCTGCTTCAGATTCTGTGTCTCCCTCTCTCTGTCTGCTCCTCCCCAACTCACGTGTTTTCTCTATCTGTCTCTCAAGAATGAATGTTTAAAAAAAATTTTAATAGTAATAAGGGGAAGGACATCTCTTTTTGCTCATTGAGTTTATAGCCCAGAAAGAAACTGACATTGTGATCTGCTTGACCTATCCTGTGTCATCACCATTGGATGAGCTGGGGCTTTCCCAGTTTTATACAAGGAAAAGGGTGAATTGGACAAGATAAGAATGTTCAAAAGCCAACCAGGGTTCAATGTCACTGACTTGTGAATGGAGCTCTTAGGAGCCAGATTCATCCTATTACTACTCAAATACATAGAATGTATTAATTTTTCAGTAACTATTAATAACGCAGTAAGAGTGTATTCATTACTCAATAAGAACTAAACAACCATGAGCCTTCCCTGGCATTACTAACCCTCTGACTCTTGGTCTTTGGCCGTTAGGCAATAACAAGCAACGTTTTTACTCCTCTTTCTGGTGTGTCCAAATCCATGATCTCTTTTGATTCTCATGCCAACAACCCGGTGAGGTAGGAGTTATAACTTCCAGTTTGTGCATGAGTAAGCCGAGGTGGGGAGCTAAAGTCACCTGGCATTGCTCAACAAGAGGCATGGGTGGAGGGCCGTGAACCTGACCTTCCAGCGCCAGGTCTCATCATGCCTCCCCTTCTCCTTTTTCTCTTCCCTCTTGTCTTTCCTATCCGCCTTCTTCCCAATTAGTTTTCTCTCATTACAAAGAGCAAAAGATCTCAGACTGTTTCCACCTCCTTCCCCAGGGACCATCGCCTGGTCTGACCCTCAGTCCTGTGTTTATCTCGAAAGACTTCTTTGACACAGAAGGACAGGAATGAGCCTCCAGGCTGTCCCCTGTTTTTACCAAGAGTCTTTAGAAAATTACAAGGTGCTATACTGCCAGGAGACTGCTGCCTTCACCCACATCCTGTGTGGTGTTCATAGTGACTAAAGGCCCTTCCACAGCATCCCTGGGAGTTAGGGACAATCAAAAGCCAAACCTCAAGTCCTAGTTTTCCACATTGTTGTTCCATAGGACAGTGTTCATCTTCAATTCCTGATTTCCAACACCTTTAGTAAGATTTTTTTCTTAACATTTATTTATTTGAGAGAGACAAAGTGTGTGTTGGGGGGGGGGCGGCAGAGAGAGAGAGGGGGAGACACAGAATCCAAAAGAGGCTCTAGGCTCTGAGCTGTCAGCACATAGCCGGATGTGGGGCTCAAACCCATGAACCATGAGACCATGACCTGAGCTGTAGTCGGACGCTTAACTGACTGAACCCCCCAGGCGCCCCTCCAATACCTTTAGTGAGATTTTTAAAATTCATACCCACAGAAAGCAATTAAGTCTGTAAGACAGGAATGAGGCAGTTGAATGTGAGTGCCGACTCTGCACCTCCTAACTGGCTGTGTGACCTTGAGTAAGTCATATGAATTTCCTGGAACCAGGAGTTGGGTCAGGTCCAGCGGGTCCCTTCAAGATTTAATGTTCCGCGACTCTAAGGATTTACCTTGTAACTTGATAAGCTTCTTAAAGGCGGAGCCCATATCTGACCCCTGTTGTGTTAGGATGTCCATGGAAGGGCAGGAGGGGGTTGGCCATGCAAAGGCACCACAACAGGAGACTCCCACAGAACATGCCATTGGAACGTTCTGGATGTGGAGGTTGCAGCTGAGAGCAGCCTGCAAGCATGAGCAAGGCACCTGAGAGTCCTGACTCAGAGAGTGCCAGGCAAGGTGGAAGGAGGAAGAAATGGAGGCCTGGTATGAGAACTGGCCTGTCTCTGTCAGGGCACTGGAGGCCTGGTGTCCAGCGGCAGCCCATCATCCGGCAGCCTTTGTCATCAGCCAAAGAACACCACAAGCGCTGAGGTGCAGGAGCAGGTGCCAGGCCATGGGTGGAGAGCTGCGGCAGGTGCACACCACCTGCGGTCAGCCCAGGTGAAGCAGGCTCCTGGGTACCACCTAGGCAGTAATAGAAACTGATGCCAATCTTAGTGGAGCCGGGGGCTGCGTGGGGAGTCAGCCTTCCCTAAACAGAGGCCTGGCAACTCAAAGGGCCCACATTAGGAGGGAGGGAGACTTGGGGAGCCCTGCAGGGGTCTGACACGGTCCCAGCCCTGGGATCTGGAGCAGGCGTTCAGTAAAAAGCCCTTGTAGATAGTAGACTCAGCGGCTTGGGCCCCTCTTGCTCCCGTTGAGGCTGGCCCCGGAGAGAGGCAGGCCCAAGCACGGAAGGGAGAGGTATCCATAGGCCTAGCCCGGAGGTTCCAGGAGGACTGAGGCCAAGGAAATGACACAAGGACAGCTGGTGAACAGCTGGTTCTCCACTTGAGTGTGGCAGCCCCTCCAAGTCCTTCAGTGTTACCCAAGGCCTTTCCCCGGCCCTGCCAAACAGAGGCAGACGTTCACTGTCCAAGGCGAGGAAATTGCTAGTCTTACCACTTATTCGTCATACCCTCAGGAATGCAGTTAAAGTCCGACACTCTATAAAGAATTCCCAAATTTGGGGTTTCTCTATCTCAAAGAATCACATAAAAATTTGAAGCTGTTTTAATTTGAAAAATAAGTAAATAAGTTTACTAGAGACAGAAAGGTTCAGATGCATCTCTCCCCACCTGTACTTGTGAGCAGGAGCCAGGCAGGACAGGGTGTGCTTCTGTTAAATGACCTTTATATAGACAGGAAAGTTGGCATTGTCAGGTCTGAGCACATCAGCGTTTACATTATGCACTTATTTTAGTGTTTCAGATCTTAGCTGAATGTTTTTGTCTGTGCCCAGTGTGTGTCCATACACAGAGACTCGGCCGAGCTAGAGGATGTCTCTGCTTACCCCCTTTATTCAATTTCCATTCTTCCACAAGATTATAGAAGTCTGTTTTCTTTAATAGGATTTTCCCTAGCTGCATAGTCATTTTCTTTTGGTAATCACTGCTCTGCTTTTCGTCTGTTCCTATTTTTAGTTATTTTCTTGACTTCTAAATTACTCTGTAGAATTCTGATACACAGAGAGCTTTTGTAATGAACATTTCTTCATGTCCTAAAGTTGGAAATTAGCAGAAGAATGGAAATGTTTGGGGTACCTGGGTGGCTCAGTCAGTTAAGTATCTGACTTCGGCTCAGGTCATGATCTTGAGGTTTGTGAGTTCATGTCCCTCATCGGGCTCTGTGCTGACGGCCCAGAGCCTGGAGCCTGTTTTGGAGTCTGTGTCTCCCTCTCTCTCTGCCCCTCCCCTGCTTGTGCTCTGTCTCTCCCTCTCTCTCTCTCAAAATTAAATAAAAATTTAAAAAATGTTAGAAAGGGGTGCCTGGGTGGCTCAGTTAAACATCTGACTCTTGATTTCGACTCAGGTCATGATGTCACAGTTTGTGAGTTCGAGCCCTGCATCGGGCTCTATGCTGACAGCACAGAGTCTGCTTAGGATTCTCTCTCTCCAACACCCCCCCCCCGCCCCACTCATGTGCTCTCTCTTTCTCAAAATAAATAAACTTTAAACAAAAGAAAAAAATTTTTTTAAAAAGAGTGGAAGTGTTAAGGAAGGGGGTGACACAGCCAAGCAGAACTATCCCCACTGTGTTCACCACCCCTCAGCTGACAGTCCTGGGGATGCTACTGGAACCTTCCTCTCATTTCCCTAGGGGTTCCTCTCCTAGAGGAAGGTGGTCCTATGCAGCTAGTGCTGTGCAGAAAGGACTTCATTGCCATCTTTTTTTTTTTTTTAAGATTTTATTTTTAAGTAATCTCTATACCCAGCGTGGGACTTGAACTCACAACCCCAAGACCAAGAGCCGCACACTCCTCCAGCTGAGCCAGCTAGGCGCCCCAGGAGTGCCATCTGTGGAGATCGTGGAGTTCATACTCTACATGGGGAGGTTGCAGGAATTCTCATCTCACTGTCCGCTGGGTACAGATTTCCACGCAGATTAGCCATTTACGTCAGATCAGCCATTTACATCAGTCTCCAGTTTCGTTTCCTGGTGCTCCTGGGCACCAGCCCTGCTGAAACTTTCTTTTAGGTCTTCTGGTTAATCACCATAACTGAGGTCTTTCAGCCCAGGCGCCACTCACCCTGCTCACTCCCTGCGCAGATGCAGACATGGAATAGCCACTCAGGCACAGCTGAACTGTGCCAGAGACCTTCCCCCAAGTCCATCGTCCCATCCCATCCCCAGCCAAGCACCACCAGCCCACTTTGGGAGCAGGGTGCTCACAGCACTATTCTGGCCTCTCTGGTCTCCCGGAACCGTCCTCAGCACACCAGCACCAGCCAGTTTAGCCAATGCTCATTCTAATCCTCAACAGCTCCCCGACGTGCAGCAGCCTGCCTTTCCGGCCTCTGTGCTGTGCTGCAGCCACATACACGGCTCTGCCCCAAACACGGCCCCCAGTGTGTTACCGCCATACTGCCATCCGCGCTCTCCTTCCCCTGTATGGCCACAGCCCTCCTACCTATCTTCAGGACCCAATTCAGGTGTCACCTCTTCCTGACTCTCCCCTCCCACAGCCCTTATCTGTCACATTCAACTTCCTGAGGTCTCTTTTCTGGCTCCTCCCCATCATGGTCCTTCAGCGGGGGTGGGGGGGCACGATTTTCTGCTCACTTTCCCTCCGTGGTCTCAACTATTCCGGTGGCTTTGGCCACCACCTCTTCTCTGACTCTCAAACCTGGCACTTAAACCAGCTCTCTCTGGAGCTTGGGGCCCCCTTTCCAGGTACCCTTAGACAGCGCCATCTGGAGGTCCCTCATGTACCTCACATTCTACACTCCCAGAAACAGGCTTATAATGTGTCCTGTTATAAGGACTGCCCCCCCCCACCCCAAAATCCTTACCCTCCTGTCCTGAGGGCTGTGGCCCTGCATGGGACCCTGTTATGTGTTAGGATGCCATCTTGTTTATCTTTCTGGTACAGTTCTAAATAGCATGTCCTTACTGACATATGCCCCTTCAGGTACATGCCTACATCATCAGCCACCTGAAGAAGGAGATGCCAAGTGTATTCGGAAAGGAAAACAAGAAGAGAGAGCTTATCATCAGATTGCCAGAAATCTACCTTCAGCTGCAGCGAGAATACCAGATTTCTGCCGGGGACTTCCCAGAGGTCAAGGCAATGCAGGTACTGGGAGGCTGCTGCAACATCAATGCCCCCTTATCTGGTGGCTGCTGGGTCCACATGAGGGTTTCCTGGTTTAGGATAGAGAACACCATGAATGCATCTTTCTAATGGTGATCCATGAGAATAGGCTTCTGTGAGTAAAGCAGAGATTGTCTGGCCTCTGAAACATTTAACCAAAAAGGGACACATTTCAAGAAGTAACTTGAGGTCACATGAAAAAAATCAGAGGGGCAGCCCTCTTAGGCTGTGTGTGTTGGCATTAAGTGACACCTGTTTTTTGGAATCCCAGAACTTTAAGGGAATTAGAGCTGGCATTGACCTTGGAGGTCGCCTCAGGTGGCCTCTTCAAGCCTGTGCTGCTAGGCATTGTGGGAATATACGATCAGGCAACATGACTAATGCAGGCTCAGAGCTCTAATCAGAGTTCCTGGGGCTCCTGGGGCATGGCTAACTTCCCTGGGCACAGCAAGTTGTGCTCACTCACTAAAGACGTAACTTATGGGTCAGCATTGGACAACTTCGGGCCTGATTTTAGGGTCTTCTGAGTTGTGTCTGAGCAGCCCCAGATGAGCCCAGATGGGTGCTGCATTCATCCTGGCCTGACCAGTGTGTCTACCGCCCTGCAGTGGTGCTAGACAAACACATCGATGCTGACCACGTCTTCCCAAGTGAGACCATCCCACCTGGCTCCTCGCAGAGCCAGACTGACCATCTTTTTGTCCAGTGCAGGGACCTGTCTGCACTAGAGACCACAGTCCTCTCTGGAAAAGAAGAACCACATCACCCTTTTTGACTTCCTCTTGTTTTCCCACATTTGATGGAGCTATGGGCTCTGAGAAATAAGACTGTTGCAGGAGGAAAACGAGTCTGCAAGTACAGTGTACTTGTGGGGACCCACCACAGGGGCAGCTTGGGGCGTCTGTGCCCTGCCTCAGTGGGTAGAGAAGGCCTGACCTGCCCGTGGTCAGCGCCTTGTGGGAACACAGGCCTGGATGATTCACGAGCAGTTGCAAAATCTAGATTTGTGTATAGAGCCCCTGGTTTTCAAATTTTAGCTCAAACTTTCAAAAAATACTACATAAGCCAAACAGAGCATCCCTGCAATACTGGCTACGCCCTGGAGACGTCCAATTTTCATCTTGAGCCTTGAGGCAGAGAAAGATGGGGCTGAAGGAAGAAGAGTCATTGGAGATGTACAGCTGGGAGCCTGTGAGCTGCCTGGCTGCCTCCAGAGGGCGGAGGAGGAGGAGAGATCAAGGAGTGGACGCAAAGGTCAACAGGCATCAGGAGAGGAAGCTTGACCTTGAGGAGTTTTTTAACGTAAACTTTCTATAAAGGGCACACTAACCTAGGAAAGGGTCACGCTGTTGTGATGGCAGGGTTCGGGGTGACAAGTGCATGTGGAATATATGATCTGGTCGGATATGACTTAGCTTCTAAATAAATCCAGAATATCTTTTTCCTTCCTGAAATTAAATAGGTATCCCTGTACTCAGAGGAAGAATCGTTTTGTTTTTTTTTCTAATGACAAGATAGCTGGGCTACGGGGCCTCCGGAAAAGTCTTCCTGAGTGGATTCACCTTCACACCCTTGGGTTATGCCCTGAACCACATGACCAAACCGAGGGGACATGTTTCCTTGCATCCTTTAGATATATATATTTTTTTAATTTTTAATGTTTATTGCTTTTTGAAAGAGACAAAGTGTGAACGGGTGAGGGACAGAGAGACACACACACACAGAATCCAAAGCAGGCTCCACGCTCTGAACTGTCAGCACAAAGCCCAACTCAGGGCTCAAACTCATGAGCCGTGAGATCATGACCCGAGCCAAAGTTGGACGCTTAACTGACTGAGCCACCAAGTGCCATGCAGCCTTTGGATATGTTTAAAAGAAGTTGGTTCCTTGACTCAAATGAAAACTATGAATAAATACATAGTGTGTACTGTGGCCTAATGGAGCTTCTGTGGCTCATTAGTCTAATGAGCTATACAGCGTGCCATCCACAGGAACGTGCTGCTCCCAAGGCCTGAGGCACCACTGAGCCTCTGTAAGCCTCCTTTCAGGGCCTGAAAACCTGTCCCCAGAGGAGCTCCCATAACACAGGTAGCAAACCGCTACCAGAGCTTCTCGTGACCATATTAGCCTGGGCCTGTCCATGTCAGAGGAAGCCAGGGCCTCTCAGCTGGAGGAGAGGGACAGCCCCTGAGGAGGAAAACAAGGAAGCCATGTGCCCCTCTGCTAGCATATCAGGAGAGGCCCTAGCACCTTCAGGAGACACCTGAGTGCCTTAGGACTTGGAGCAAGGAGTGCCACCTGACAGGTGCCCTCATTCACCTGTGTTCGTTTACTCAATCACCAAGAAATATTAAGCCTACCATGGCCAGGCACTGTTCTAGGTCCCTGGAATAAATCAGTGAACAAATAACAAAACTCTCTGCCTTTTGGAGTTTATATTCTGGATTACAGTATTTGCCACTATGACCGTGGCCACAGTGGAGTTGGGGCAGCAAAGCCTACTGTTAGGACACGCGCTCTTTGTTACAACACTAGCGCTGTTGTGCCTTAGAGCTATTGACTTATGTGTTCAGGGGCAACCTCCCTCATAAGGCTGTAACTCCATGAGGCCAGGGACCTGTCCTGTTCACTGCCATATCCCCAGCACCTGGGATGCAGCAAGTGTCCGGTGAGTAGGTGTTAGATGAGCTCACTGATAAGTTGGTGTGTGTTTATATCACAGCAGGCTGTAGGGTGGTGAGTTTCTCAGACCCTGACCTACCCCGGACACTCACAGGGCCTGTGTATAGACCGGCAGTTTTCAGAGCAGGCCCCTGGAATCTGGAAGGGATTCCTTCGTGGGAGACTAGCCAGGCCCTGATCACACCACCCCAGTCCCTTCAGGGACTCCTCGAGGAGCAAGGCAGGCCTGGAGCCCACACGGCATGCTTACCATCACCTGGGACTTCCAGCTAGTTCGCTGTCACCCAGGAAGCTTTGGGGAGCTGATGGGGTGGGTCAGGGCCTCTGTCATCTCTGAGTCTGTTGATCATCTGACATCCCTTCCAACACAGGTGTTTAACTTCACATCGACTACGTCTGGGATAGCAATGGGGACATAAGTGTGTGGAGATAACTTTTCTATGATCTTAGCACATCTCAGGGTCACTCAGAGAGCTCACTGATGCCAGCTTTAAGTCTCTGTTCTCCCTGTGCTGTCAGAGACCAGGCTGATTGGGGTGGCTCTTAGCTGTAGCAATAGGCTGAGTGTATTATGAAGGCTTTTGCCTGGTGCTGGGAGAGGCCCATGACCTGCTGCTGAAGCAGCCCGTGTCTGCCCTGCATCGTTTTGGGAGGGAATGCGATTTACCACACTGATGTGCTGTTAGATTGGAGAATGAGAACACAAGCTAAGCCACTTTTATTACAGACTCAGTTGTCCTCCTCAGAGCATTTAGCCCCCTCAGCTGATGAGTTGGCAGTGTTTCAACAGCAGAGGGCAGCAGAGCCATCCCCACCTGCTCAGCCCACCTGTAAATTGGAGAACTGCTTCTAGTGAATTCTGGGAGCAAGTGGGCAAGAGATAGCCCAGCAATGACTGGACTGGGAACTGACCTTTGTGCATTGGGAGGGAGAAGTTCCAGGATCCTGGCTTAGTGGCTTTGATGGATACAACTGTTGAAGGGTAGATCTTTAAATTCCCTGCTGTATAGACATCCCAAGGAGGGATGAATAAAGATTTCTGTTTTGGAGAGAACTTGGTGGAGGGACAGAGATGGCTGTGGTTTAACTTGCACCCTACACTCCCTGGTCAGGCCTTGGGGGTGAGGGGTACCCCAAGGATGAGAGTTTAGGGGTTATTTCCTCTGTGCTCTCCGGGCATGGCTGACTGCTTGCTGTTACGTCCTGTCCGCCCATGCAAACATGTGGCCATTTCCCCTTGCCAGCTTTCCAGAGGTTTCCAGTCTGAATCCGCAAACCCTGCAGGCGGGTGGAAAGTTCAGGCAGACACCGCCCTCATTCGTCTGCTTGGCCAGACACAGGGGCTTTGTGTGCGCTCAGAGCTCAGGCTCATTCATGAGGAAATGGGGTAGGTGTCTGTGCACCCAGGGGAATCCAGACTTGTTTACCCCAGCAGCACTCAGATTTTTGTGTAGGCTGCCTGCCCCCTCCTCCTGGGCTTTCTCTTTTGGTTCCCCCGGCTGACTGAGATATTGCCCAAATGTTGGTAACATTGTTTAGAGTTGGTTTTGGAGTGAATTGCAGGTGACTGTGGTCTGTCAATGAGGATAGCCATACACAAATGTGTCCAGAAACCAGACCCCCACCACACAGACCTGACGGCCCCAGAGTTTGCTGGAAGAGTGTTGGGGGCACCTCTCTAGAGGTCTGGCAAGCCATTTGGCTTTTGTCTCTGTCCCTCCATCTGAAGTTCAGGGTTCTGCTTCTAAACAACAGCACAGAATGTCTGCCCTGCTGGTACACTCCAGAGACCACAATTTTGAGTCTCCATTGAGAGAGTTTTGTTTCCAAAGTTTAGGAAAGAACCTAAATGTCCAACCACATGGGACAGGGTAAAGGAAAAATGGCCCAGCTGTACAGTTCAATATTATATAGCCATTAAGATGAAGAATAAGGCTGTATAAAAATTATTATCACAGAAAGATGTGATACATTTTTCCTTAAAATTTTAAGTTTTCAAACAGTGTGGTCTTATTTCAGTTAAAGTGTGTGTGTGTGTGTGTGTGTGTGTGTGTATGTGTATGTATGCATGTGTGTGTGTGTTTATAAAAATGGCTAGAAATGTGTGCTCAAAAAGTGTTAGGAGAATTTATTGCTGGGGGGCACCTGGGTGGCTCAGTCAGTTAAGCATCCGACTTCGGCTCAGATCTTGATCTCATGGTTCACACGTTCGAACCCCACGTCAGGCTCTGTGCTGACACTTAGCTCAGAGTCTGGAGCCTGCTTTGATTCTGTATCTCCTTCTCTCTCTCTCTCTGACCCTCCCCTGCTCATAAATAAATAAATTAAATAAATAAATAAATAAATAAAGATTTATAGAAATAAATAAATAAATTTATTTATTTCTCAGAAATAAATATATAAATAAAACATTAAATAAATAATAAATAAATAAATAAATAAAACATTAAAAGTTTTTTATCACATTACTTCTTCCCACAACAGTCAGGTCTGAGGGGTATATGAAATCTCTTTTACTCAAGAGTGTCCCTGCCTCATCTCCATAAAATTACACACCTGGATTGCCCCTCACTTGCCTTCTAGAATTTTCGTAAAAGAAATAGTTCACATAAAGTCCATATAAAAACTTGAATACCTGGAATTTTCTACATTTATTTGGCAAAACTGATGTTGAAAACATTTTTCAAAGATCATAAAAAGCCCCAGGTATCTCTCACAGTTCAGACAAAGTTTGTCTCTTGCAATAAACAGATGGTTCATTCCCTCAGACAATGAGAGGTGTGCCCTCCCCACCCCCCAGGCAACCCAGCCGCTGAGGAGAGTAGCTTTTCTCACCTTACATGTCTGACATAAGAGTCCCTTTCCTCTCCGTCTTAATTACTTAGATTTTCCATTTCTTTTTGTTTTTTTTTTAAGTTTATTTATTTTGAAAGAGAGAGCACATAAGGTGGGAAAGGGCAGATAGAGAAGGGGAGAGAGAAAATCCTAAGTAGGCTCCACAGTGTCAGCACAGAGCCTGACACAGAACTCAAGAACCGAGAACAAGAGTCTGATGCTTCACCGACTGAGCCACCCAGGCGCCCCTTAGCTTTTCCATTTCTAATGACTGTCTTCTATTTCATGTTATCATATTTTCACTGTAAGCTAAGCCAAACCCTTCTTGAAAGAAGACAGGATCTAAAAAAACTAGAACATTCTCCCACTTTTATAGCATAAGTTCCCTGAGGGCGGATACTGTGACTCTTCATGGTTATATTATCCCCAGGCTCCAAAACAGGGCCTAGCAATAACAAATGACCAGTAAATGTTGGACGGGTCGATGGAGGAAAGATGGATGGATGGATGCATGGATGGATGGATGGAAGGAAGGAAGGAAGGAAGGAAGGAAGGAAGGAAGGAAGGAAGGAAGGATAGGTGGATGGATGGATGGATGGATGGGTGGGTGGGTGGATGGGTGACCAAGGAGAACCATAGTAGGGAGGGCTATTTATACAGAACCATCCACAGGTCTGTGTGGCGTCTACAGTCAGCTCCCCTCCAAGGCAGGCAATTGTTGTGTCCCAGGGCCCTCCCTGGCGTACGTGTTCCTGCATCTCTGTCTGCTGATGGGCCAGTTCACCTGGGATATGGAGCCTGGACTTACCCTGATCTGGCTGGTGATACTCAGCCCTATTGGCTGGATTTCTGCTCCCTCTCCCCATCCCTACTCTTCTCCCGCTTAGCAGTTTCAACTTTTACTTATTTGTACCTTAAATTATATTTTTTAACTGATCCAAAAACAACATCCTTAAATAATTGTTTTACCTAAATAAGTCCTTCTGACACAGCTTCATATCACAATACAAAGAGCATTATTTCAAGAGACAGGGGCCAAGGGGTCTAGTCCACCCCTTGTGCTGTCCATAAAACAGGGTTATTCATACCTGCCCTTCCTTACTCCCAGCATTGTTGTAAAGATCAATGAAAGTATTTTGTAAGATCACCTTAAAAGATAAAATGCTAAATCTCTAGAGAGAAAGAAAGAAAGAGAGAGAGAGAGAGGGAAAGGGAAGGGAAGGGAAGAAGGGAGGGAGGGAGGAAAGGAAAGGAAGGAAAGGAAAGGAAAGAGCAAAGGGTGCCTAGGTGGCTCAATCTGCCTTCCACTCAGGTCATGATATCACAGTTCGTGGGTTTGAGCCCCACATCAGGCTCTCTGCTGTCCTCTCAGAGCCTGCTTCAGATCCTCTGCCCCCTCTCTCTCCTTTTCCCCCGCTTGCGCGCACGCTCTCTCACTCGCTCACTCTGTCTCTCTCCCTCTCAAAAGTAAATAAATAAAAACTTAAAAAGAGGGGTGCCTGGGTGGATCAGTCAGTTAAGCATCCAACTCTTGGTTTCCGCTCAGGTCGTGATCTTGCAGTTCGTGAGTTTGAGCCCCATGACAGGCTCTGTGCTGACAGCTCAGAGCCTGGAGCCTGCCTCGGATTCTCTCTCTCTCTGTGTGCTCCCCCCCCCCCATTTGTACTCTTGTCTCTCTCTCAAAAATAAGTAAACATTAGGGATGCCTGGGTGGCTCAGTCAGTTGAGCATCCAACTTCAGCTCAGGTCATGATCTTGCAGTTCGTGAGTTCAAGCCCTGCATCGGGGTCTGTGCTGACAGCCCAGAGCCTAGAGCCTGCTTCAGATTCTGTGTGTGTCTCTCTCTCTCTCCCCCTTTCCCACTTGCACTCTGTCTCTCTCTCTCTCTCAAAAATAAATAAACATTATAAAATTGTTTTAATAAACAAGTAAACATTAAAATTTTTTTTAATTAAAAAAAAAGGCAAGGTTGAAGGAAGGTTGTCCAAAAGCCCTAGGGTTATCACTTCTGTTGTTGCCAGCAATTATTAAAAAAAAAAAAGTTGCATTCCATGCATCTTGTTTGTTGCTCCAAAAACTGCTCCTGTATCTGGTGAATTCGGATGTGGGGACCCCACCAAAGAGAAAGCTCTGGAGCAGACCAGGGATAGGATGTCCGCTTAAAGGAGAATCCTGCCTCCAGCTACCTCTCTCCCTCTCTGCTTCCTGAAGAGAGGGCATGTGACCAAGTTGTGGTTTTTCCTTTTGCAGGAACAGCTCGAGAACTACGACTTCACCAAATTCCACTCGCTGAAGCCCAAGCTGATTGAGGCAGTGGACAACATGCTGGGCAGCAAGATCTCATCCTTGATGCAACTCATCAGCCAGGAGGAGATGAGCATGCCCACGCAGCTCGTGCAGGGCGGCGCCTTTGACGGCACCACCGAGGGCCCCTTCAACCAGGGCTACGGGGAGGGTGCCAAGGAGGGTGCCGATGAGGAGGAGTGGGTGGTGGCCAAAGACAAGCCCATCTACGATGAGCTCTTCTACACCCTGTCGCCTGTCAATGGCAAGATATCAGGTGTCAATGCCAAGAAGGAGATGGTGACATCCAAGCTACCCAACAGTGTCCTGGGCAAGATCTGGAAGCTGGCGGACTGTGACTGTGATGGCATGCTGGACGAGGAGGAGTTCGCACTGGCCAAGCACCTGATCAAGATCAAGCTGGACGGCTACGAGCTGCCCAACAGCCTGCCCCCCCACCTCGTGCCCCCTTCCCACAGGAAGTCCTTGCCGAAGGCCGACTGAGGGGTGGGCCGCTCACAGGTCAGGCAGTGGGTGGTAGAGATCGGGGGCCTGGGCCTGAGGCCCATGCCACCGCTGACTCACTGACCCTAGCCAAGGCACTGCCCTCTCTGTGCCTCAGTTTCCCCAACTGTGGAATGAGGAGGGTACACACTGGACACTAGATGAGGTTCTTTCACCTCTAAAATTCCCTGAGTTTCCATTAAAATATTGGGAGGAGAGTGTGGATAAAGAGAATGAAGGGTTAAGAAAAAAGATAAATTGACCAAAGAGTACTCAGAAGCCTGGAGAGACCTGGATGTGGAGGTGGGCTGTGCAGAGCCTGGCAGCCACAGGGAGTGAGCCAGGGGCTCTTCTGGAGCAGGGCAAGCCTTTTGCATTGGACCACGTCACTGTGCACCTGCCTTGGCCCCTGTCTGTCCCTTAAAGGGTGCCTAGAAGAAGCAGAGTTGACCTTATTTATTTCGTTTCCTGCTGTATTGAGAGTGGACGACAGCAGAGTACAGAGCGTTCTGTCGTCTCCAGACCATTTACCAAAGAGAAGACTGCTTCCCCTGTGTTTGAAAGGAGAGTCCACTGTGCCTGTGTGAGCCCCCGTCCCTCCTGCAGGCTCGAGCAGCACCGGCAGCCAGGCCAGCAGAGAGCATTTGTGACACCCAGCACCCCCCTGACCAGCCCACCCAGAGCTCCCCCAACCTGGGGCCCTTCTCAGCAAAATTGCATTTGGTTAGGAATTTGGAAATCTGAACTTTATTAGCCCCCGGCAAGATTTCTAGTATTCAAATCATGCTGACATCTGAAGGTTGGCTTTTCTTACTAGTCTGTCCAACAATTTGTAGCAAAGTCTATTTATCATATTCAAAGTATAGTAAAGGAACGAGGTGGTTCTCTTCCACACTTCAGTCATCCGTTAATGTGGTGACAGGCCCCCAAGGCCCCTTGGTCAATGGCAAGATTTAAATTCAGCAAAACCATGTCTTGGTGCCTGCAGTGTGCTCGGCCTGGGGACACAAGGGGAGCGAGAGGTTTGCCTACCCCAGGCTGTCAGGTAGAAAAGGTCATTCTCTAGCTTTAGACACTATTTTCATAAAAAATAGGCATCTTTATTATGTCCAGTATTTCTTACAGGAAAAGCCTTTATATTATAGGATGGCATCTTTCATATGAAACGTTTTCTTCAAAAGGCTGTGAGGTTCATACCATGCATGCCCATCACAAGGCAGGATTTGGCACATGCCGCACGTGGGTTCCTGAATGTTCTCTCTCTGGGTCCTGATATAAACCTCTCTGTTGCCCGCGCTCAACTGCCTGTCAGGTGCAGGTGGTTAATGCTCACTACCACCTCCCCTCCTTCATGGCCTGTAGCTTGGGTATTCATTTCATCATTACTTATACAATAAAAAAGAGGCACAAAATTGTGATAGCCACATGGTATGGGGCCCCACCAGCACCGAAGTGAAGTGAAATCAAAACAGTCCCACCTGAGCCTTCCAAAAAACATGTTTTGTTTTGTTTTTTGTGATGTTACCTGTGATATCAGTGTCAGAAATGCAGACTTAAGAGACAATTTTTTTTTTTTATTTTGGGGAAGCATTTATCCAGATGCCAGCCCTCACACTCCCTAGTTTACTCCTTAAATAATGTCATTTTAAGAGAAGTAAATGCATAACATGATTTTTAATCTTAATGAGCACTCTTAAATCCATTAGAAACATAGAGGTTTATAATGTCTGAACTCTCATATAAGCAGATGGTTTGGTGAACGTGTGAGGACTGCCCAAGGGGGGACCCACAAGGGAACCCGCCAAAGGACAAAACAGAGAAGAGAGAATTCATTAGTCCAAAGGTTTAGAGATGCCAAGGTTAGTGGATTTTCCATTCAGAATTATCCTGCTGCTGTAATTCTTCTCAATTGTCATATACATATTCACATACATACACCACGTGAGTATGTATTCTTGACCTTGTCAGTGTGTATATAGGCAGATATGGCCAAGTTTTGTCTTTGCAGGGACATACGGGAAAACTATATTAGAGGACCAGCTGACTGAGGGGTCTACTTCCTATGGGAAGGGAAACTTCTCTTGGTGGCATTGTGATCCCTATATGCCCTCAGGTGAGACAACACAGGCAACTGCATACTTTCCCTCCTGAGAAAGAAAAAAAAAATCACATGCCCATTTTTCTTAATTAACATCTCTTACAACATGAAGACAGTCATCATGAAGAGCTGAAAAGCACTGCAGAACATTAGGGATGGCTGCTAAGGTGAGGACCCGTATCTTCCCAGGACTTGCACCAAGTTCTTGGAGTCTATGTCCAGAATACCCATTATCCTGCCTCCTCGTGCAGCAGGGCTGGGGGACGGCAGAGCCCTCCAGCACCTGTTTACATTGGCCCACCACGTGGCCCTCCCCATACCACCCCAGTTTTCAAAGTACCCCCGCCCTTGGGTGTCTGCAGTGAGGCAGGATGGGGGAGGTAGGTAAACTCTAGCACTGTGAAACTCCCCACGCTCTCCACAATGCCGCAGAAGAAAATCCAAGAGTCTCGAATCTCTTTTCACAAGATACTGTGTAACACAAACCTCTGCAGCCTTGAGTTCAAGGGGAAAAACAAGCTCAGCCTGATCCTCCCAAAGACAGCTTCCAAGTGGCAATCCTGCTAATGAGGCCCTCCCGAACCTATCTGCAAAGAACCGTTGCACCAGGCCCTATCAAAACCCTCGAATTTCGTGGCACGTGGGGACGCCCAACAGGCTCCAGCCCAGCATCGTACACTGATACCTTCCTGACTGCACGCTGGGAGGACGCAGGACTGGTCACTCTTCAGTGCGGAGGACCTTTCATTTAGCTGGCCCTCGTCTCCCCAGGGCTGGACTGGGTTCCCCTGGGAGCACTTGTCATGATGCAGCCATCACATCTTTGGGTTTGGAGGTGAGGCTCCTCCTACAGGATGGCGGGCCTTTGAGGAGTTGAATTCTTACATGGCACGGGACTGGGTGTGCGGGTGGGTCAGAGACCACATGAGGAGAAGCAAATGCCTCCTGCCCTCCCCTCCACCCTTGCCCTCATCATCAGCCCACAGGAGAAGCCTCAGCAGAGCCCTGGCCCCCACCGCCATGGAGCACAGCCCTTTGTCACATTCCGCTGGTTCCCGGGAGAACCCGCCTCTCCATCACACAAGGAATGTCTTGTACTGCAGTCCGTTGCACAGCGTGGGGTCTCATCACCAGAGTCATGGCCTGACAGCCACCACTGGGACCTCTCCACTTTGCACCACTACACACCTTCGTTATGCCCAGGGCAGTACCCCAGACAAGTCATCTTGAAGAAAAGGAAAGCATTTAACAGCGGCACTGTTTACTTCCTCCGTGGGATCTAGCAGAGAAATAACCTTCTTAGGACAGATAACCACTGAATTTATTCAGGTAAACATGGGCCTAATTTAAGAGTGTGTCAGGTTACATGTCAATTAGCCAATGCAGTTAATACACAATGCTTCTATTTTTTTTTTTGTAATCTTGTTTCTAGGTGTCAAAAAAAAAAAAAGACACAGTCTATTGATCAATAAACTTGTGAAAAATTCACTAGCTTCCCTCCATTGGCTCTGGCTCTCCGGTGACTGGGTAGCAGTTGTCTCAGCAGTAAAGCAGGGATCCAAGGAGTTAGGGAGAGGGTGTACCCCTGGTACATGCCATCCCTGTGACCCCCACCTCTTCCTGTGTCCTCCAAGCTGGGAGACTCTTAGCCAGAGGGTGTCTTTATCTGGAAAGCCAGACTGGAGGAACCGTGGACACAGGCCCTTCCCAGGCTGTGAAGGGCATTACTGAGCACTCTCAAAGAAAAGGGGCACCTACAATGATGTCCTCTCAAGATCGGAGGCAAGTCCCTGCGCCGGAAGCTGCAGTTGTGCTGGGGTCGGAGCCCGCTGGCCGGCACTGCTCCTACCTCTTGTCACACCTCACAGGTGCAGTTACACACTCCTACACCCAACATCCAGGTTTTTCCCACCGTCACCCATCTACCCTTGTGGCGACCCAGACCTGGAATTTCCTTAGCAAAGCACTCCCCACCCTCAGTCTGAGCCACAAGGTTTGGGAGAGATAGACACTTCTCCAGGTGGGTCCTGACTTGCTTTAGCCAATTAGAGTATTTCATCCCCTGGTCACAGAAATTGGTTCAGGAATGGACACGTGGCTCAATTCAAGCCCATGAGAGCCAAGCCCCTCAGACTTCTCTTCCAGCTCTCGAGAGGTCTTCTCTCTTCTCCGAACCATGCAGTGTAAAGAAGCAAGCCCGTTGATACAATATAAACGGCATTGAGAGGAGTGCTCAGAGCGACTGGGGGCAGAGGAGTGTGGTTAGGCTGGCAGCAGCCACCCTCTGGAGCAAGAAGGTGAAGGAAGCCTTGAGAAAGGCAGAAGGAATCCAGGCCTGTGGTGGCATCATTGGAACTGGGGATCAACCCTCACCTGGGGCACCTGGGTGGCTAATTGGTTAAGTGTCAGAATTGATTTCAGCTCAGGTCATGATCTCACAATTCATGAGACAGAGCCCAGAGCTGGGCTCTGGGCTATAACAGAGAAACTGCTTGGGATTTTCTCTCCGCCCCTCCCCTGCTTGCTCGCTCGCTCTCTCACTCTCACTCTCTCTCTCTCTCTCTCTCTCTCTCTCTCTCTCTCACACACACACACACACATACACACACATATACACACAAAATAAATTTAAAAAAAGAGAAAAAAGCACCTCACCTAAACACCTCCTCCTCTCAGACATTTCAGTCCTCTGGGCCAATACATTCCTTTTATATTGTTTAAATTTGACTTGAGATTTTAGTTACTTGCAACATAAATAATGTCAAATTATGTACTAACAAGGGATTCTCATTCCAGCAGGGGCTGCAATCAGTTACAGCAAAAGAGGAGACAGTGCCTGCTGCTTGTGCAGTGGCTTAGCTGCACTTCCAGCTCAGGAGAAAGGAAAGCAGCTCCCCAGCCCCACTCAACAACCTAATGCTACAACCTCTTTTGAGGTCTGTGTGCAAAGCATCGTGCAGCTGCAGCCTGCCCTCTGGTGGTCACATCATGCAAGATGCCCTGGGCCAAGGGTCTTCATAGGAGGAGAAATAAGCTGGGAAGGAGGGGGCTGGTGGTAGCAGAGAATCTGCTAGAAGGAACAGGATTTTAACCAGGGCTGATAGGAGAATGTGAACAATGAAGAACAGAAGGGACATTCCAAGCTGAAAAAGCAGGTGAAGCCCAGATATGGGCAGGAAAGCTTTGGTCCTGTTCAACCAGTGAGGAGTCTCCATGGGCATGAGCAGCGCTGAGCTCTGGGAGGTAAACCGGGGGGGGGGGGGGGGGGGGGGGGGGGGGGGGGGGGGGGGGGGGGGGGGGGGGGGGGGGGGGGGGGTGGCGCATAGGCTCATGTGCAGGCAAAATGATGGTCAGGGACCGGTGATGGGGCCCTGCAGGGGCAGTGCAGGTGGATGGGGCAGGAGGGTAGACCCTGGAGCTCTGGGGAGCATGGAGCACTCTCCACAGAGAACTGACTGGATCCGGGGCTATGAACGAGGAAGAAGCCCGGGCTCACTCCGACATCAGGAAGCCAGCCAGTGGGAGGAAGGACCTCACAGAGGGAGGGCAGTAGGGGAGGAAGCTTCTCCCAGATGCAGGGGAGCTGCCCCCACCCCCAAGAGCACCATGCCCCTTACTCCTAGCTACGGGCCTGCGGTTCCAGGGTGCTTTGTCTTGCTCAACTGTCAAGGGCAGGTGTCCACGGCTGCTCCTCTCCTCGGCCTTGGCTGTCAGGGACACCAGCCTGAGGAGTACTGCCTCTCTTCTCAGAGTCTCCTGGGCTGCTGGATGAAGCCACAGACACCCACCCCAGAACAGTGACTATTACCCCAAGTTTAGCCAGAACATTCTGTGAAGCCACTAGAATTAGAACTCTCTCCGGCATGCAGTTCAAGATTGTTAGGGAGAGAGAGTTGCTGCCGGCTCCCCCTATAGGCCCTGCCCTGAGCCCTGAGACTTAGCCAGTTCTGTGGAAGCTCAGGTGCTGGGGGCCTCCCCGTGAAGGCCCAAGGAGCAAACATTGTGTCTCTGACTTTGGAGGAGACTCTGTCATTTCCATGGCCTATGCAGCTCCAAGTTACCCCTTCCCAAGGGGAGAGCTCCCTTCAGAAAGTGGTCCCTGGGCATGAGGGAGCACCCCCCCTCCATTCAGCCCTGGCCCAGGTCAGGGCTTGCAAAGTCAAGCCCAGTGTCCAAGGACTATCTACCATCTTTAGCGGCGTTCCCCTGGACAGGATGGGGGGGCTAGGGCCCAGCATGCTCCCACCAATCCCACCCCTGTGGGCACTCACAAAGAGGCCCCTGCAGGGGTGCAGAACGGCAGTCCCAGATGGGGAAGTGGGTGCAGAAGCTTCTGACTGGAGGCTCTGCTGTTTGGATGCCTTTTACCTGGACTGCAGCACCCCCACGGCACTCCCACCCGGAGTTACCCCCATCCCATGGGCCTCTGCATGTTGACAGCCAGGACCCCCGCCTGACATTGGGGGCATCTGAGGCAGGAGGAGGATGAAGGAGGAGATCCTGGAGCAACAGTCTGGAGCATTCCCGAGCCACCCCCACCCAGTCTGGGCCACGCCCTTTGGCAGGTGGGAGGACAATGCCGGCTGTGTGCCGTCACCCCTACCCCACTGGCTCAAGAGGAGGGCCATGGCGTGGCCCCAGCTCCAGCCTCGGCCTCTCCTCTGGTTCTCTCCCTCCCGACACAGCCTCTGCTATCTGCGATTTCCATCCATCCAGTAGGGTCTCCTTCCAGGCACAGACATCAACAAGGTGAGCAGTTTCCGGTTTTCTTTCTACCTGCCCTTTTCATCCCAAGGAGCAGTAGCC